GCCCCCCGTCACCCCCCCCGCTCCGGGACGCCCGGCCCGCCGGAGGGGGAAGCGTGTCGGCCCTCTGGCCGGCCCTGACCCTGCCGTAAAGAAAAGCGTTACCTGGCGCCCGGCGAATTTTATTTATTTTGGTCCTCTGGGCAGCGGCCGGGCTGTTGTTGGAAACATGATTGCTTCATGCAGTCATGTTAATGTTTGCGCTGGGCCGCCCTGTAATGGATACTCCTGCCGCTCTCTCTGGGGCTTCAAAGCCAAATTAGGAAACGAAGCGCTGCACGTTAAGGACTGTAAATAAATACACACACGCGCGCGCACGGGTGCGATGCAAACCAGACTAATGAGTTTTCTTTAAGGCGTTTTTCTAAACGGCTGGGTCCATTTAAAAACAAAAGCAAACACACACACACCAAAAAAAAAAAAAAAACACAAAACCAAAAGATAAAGTTCCTGCTGTGCACTCGTGTCCTGACGGATTTGCAGTTCTGCTCTAGCAAAAGTTGGTGCGGGCGGAAGGCCGTACCCTGGCTTTCGCGTTGAGAACAGGGTTTTGTACGTCAGGGAGGGATTGTGCTAAGAAGGGTTGCAAATTTTACGGTGCTTTTAGCAACTCTTCTGAAAGATGGTTCATTTAACAGAGGCTTTTGTTTTTCCTTTTTCTTTTCTGTTTTTTTTTTTTTTTTTGCGATGGATTCATCCAGCACGTGGTTCTCTGTGTCAGGCTCTTCTTGTCTACGCTTTAAAGGAGACATTATATTTTTAAGAAACGTCTGCGTAGGATATTTCTTCATGCCGCTAAATCTATGCAGGGCCGTAACGCTAAAAATTTTTTTTATTTTTCAGACAGGGCGCAAGAGCGTGAAAAAAGTGAAGTGACCCCCCCCCGCCCCAAAAATCTCCTTTTGGATAAAGAGATAATCTGAAGAGATTTGCTTCGCGGCACAGACTGAATAATATGGGTTTTTAAAGCTGTCTCTCAGGCCTACCCATAATCCGGAGAGAAGAGCCTCGTACAAGCTTAGTGTTGCAGCCAAGCGGCACGAACCTTTGTCTCGCACATCTTCACCGAGCAGCACTCTTGTCCCCTTTTTTCCATAAATAACACACGGATGCAGCAGTGTCTTCAACCGACTTGATGGTGCTCTCCTAAAAGTAGGCCACTTTTTGAGCATAGTTAACTCTGAAACTGTACTAATAATCTCTTGATTAGCTGCAAAGAAAACCTCAGCGGTATCACCCGCTTGGTAAAGAAGCGTTGACCTTAAAGCTGAGCGTGCCGAGCTGGCTGTTTTACCTGCCGCTTTAAGAGCAGGCTAATTTATATATTTTGCCGTGACTTTGTCAAAAAAATTATTGAACCGAGGCCTAAAACGCAGTCTAAGCATCCATTTACAGTCGATAAAGATAAATGTCTATGAAGTAAGGTTTATCCTGACTGGGAGGCAGTTTGATGCTGGTTTAGGGAGGAACCCGTGAGGTAGTGAAAAACCTCAACTTTTTTTGTTTTCAGCAGAAAACTGATGAGAACTGGAGGCCCCCAGCATTTTTCAGAGAGGTCAACAACGTCTTGCAAACGCAGGACCAAAACGGTCACTAGCCATGAGAAATAAATGAAGAGATCCCTACAGCCCTTGTCCAAAAGGACCATTTAAAAATAGGCAAATTATGACTCTCTCAAAAAGAAATGTATGCATTGCATAAATCAAAGTTCTCACACCCACCGTCAAAGTTTAATCACTTAATATGCTGGTCTTTCAACATGCTCTGAAACTTTGTATACACTAATACAAGCGATGGGGTTACGAAGCAATAGCAATTTATTCTGCTGTACAAACGGATGTTGCATGATAATCCTTAAAGCAACACAGAAGCCCTTTGCAGATGTTACTACAGCTTAGCATTTATTTTAATTGCTCTGCAGTGTAGCTCATGTGAAATAAAGTCATGGGGTGACCTACGCACTCACCTACTAAGGGTGACTTAATTGCAGACCGAAAGGAAAAAAAAAAAAAAAAGATGTTTTGAAAGTTTTCAAGGTTTTACCAAAACACAAACCTCCCGCAGCTGTTTGAAGAAGATGCATCAGGGCTTCTGTCCAAGATCTGAAGCATGGCAGGGCGGGG